CTGCAAACCGCGGCTCCCGGCGCCGCTCAGCGCGGACCCGCAGGGACGGCCGGCGACTACCCCGCATTACGCCCGGCGTCTGCTCCCGCGTGCGGGCCGCGGGCCCCGCCCCCCGCGAGCAAAGCCCTTCCCCAAATCCTCCCCCGAGCTGGCGGAGGGGCAGGCTGCTGCCCTGGGGCAACCTGGCTCTCTCACCCGATGGACGGAGGCTGCGGCGAGGGGGACCTGCGGGTGGGTGCCCGCTGCCCGGCGGATGCGGCCCGGTGCCACGCTGAAGAGAGGGGGAGGCAGGTCCCAGTCTGAGCCCCGGGCCGATATCGCGCCCTTCCAGCATAGGCCCAGGTACGTACTGGTGTAAACAGCACCCCAGTTGGGTGCAAGGAAGAGGGGCAGGAGCGCTCAGGGTGAGCGGCACCCCTTTATGCGTCTCCTGCCTGGGACAGCTCTGCGGAGGCAGGAGCCGTGCTCTCTGGGTCTCAGAGCACCGTAAGGCTGTGATCTTCTTGCGCAGGGAGAGCCTCATCTCCGCTCACTTAGAAAGAAACGAAAGGAAGCAGGGTTTCTGCATCCCTTGCTGGAAAGGCTCAGGACCGTCCGATTCCAGCTCCACCACGTTCATTCACAGGGACCCGAATCACACGGGGACCACGGGCCTGCCCGCATTGCCGGGGATGGTCACTGGTGGGCGGGCGTGGACAGACCTGCACGTTCAGCGAAGCGCTGCAAAAAACCTTCATGCCGGCGGACTCGGGCGAGAGGCCCTCCTCTCTCACCGAACGCCCCGGCGAGTTAAGCGCGGGTGGGAAGTTAAGGGCACTTTGGTCTCATCTGGAAAACAAGCTCTTAAGTACGGCAGATCCCCGAGGCTCATGGGCAGGCAATGGGATTTCGGTTCCTAAGTCACTCAAGCTGTTTCGAAGCGTTTCTCTCTTCAAACCGTTTGCAATCTGCACCCACCGAGCCGGCGACTGAAGGCAGGCCCCTTGCAAACAGGCCCCCAGCCGCCTTCCTGGGGGCTGGCTAACGTGGCTTTGCTTTCGACTCTCGTGTCTTCAACATTGAACCTTCTGAAATGTCGTTAAGCGGCAGCATAACGCAGGCTAGAGCCTTGCAGCGCAAACGAGGGGCTTACGGGAATAAGAGGAAATCTCATCCCAAATCACAATTTGACTTTCGCGGTTGGAAACCAAGCCTTCTTCTGCAAGGAGGCACCAGAGCCTGCGTGCTCCCACGGCCACCGACGGCAAAACTCCTGCCAACTCCGGCAGAAGCAGGATCAAACCGCGGAGTTCAAACCCGGCCGGAGCCCGGGCTGCACATTCCCAGTGCGAACGGATCATCTTTGCTCTGGTTTTTCTTTGCAAAAAAACAAATCTTTGGCAAAGGCTTTTTTTTTTTTTTCCATTTTTGAGCAGTGAGAAAAAATGTTTGGGGTTTGTCTTGGCAGTTTCAATTGCTTTGTCATGCTCCGTTTCAAAGGAAAACATTTAGCAAGCCCTTTACCTTGGGCTAAATTCTCTGTTACATCAGGGAGAAAGTCTGAGACTTCATAGCATTGGTGACTTTTATAACCTAGGAAAAAATCCTGCTTTTCATCATCGCTCTGTACTGAGAGCGGTGCAGGTGGGGTGAAAGTTTATTTCGCAGTGCTTTTTGGAGATATTGCGTGCAGTCAGATGTGACTTACAACCCCAGTAAGACTGGTGTAGACGGTAGTTTTTTGTCGACTCTCTCCGGAGAACCGGTATCGATTGCAACAACAGCGGCAGCGCTCGGACAGTTACGGCTCAGCTATTCTAACGAAATTTCTGATGACATTAGATATTGTTGAGGCATTTTGCACAAATATATCCGTCTGAACGTATTTTATGCCCTGGAGAAAGGGGCTTTCGTGTCTGGCACTTAGGGCACTGGCCTGGGACGCGGGGAAGTAAGATTCAATGCTCTGCTATGGAAGGCAGACATGTTATCCCTGTCCAGTGCCCTAGCCAGCTGGCCACACGTGGACAGCCACTTTCACATTGGAAAGATCCCAAAAATGTTTCGGTGAAAACAATGTGGAACAAAAATAAATCCCGAAGCCTCAGAAGTCACGGAAAGGGCTGTCCCCCTGCAGAAGCAGAGCTCCACCCGACTCCTGCCTGAGCAGATACGGGTGCTGGGGTAGCTACAGCATACGGCCTGTTTTACCAGCGCTTCCTGCCATCAAGAGGACCACTGTATACTAACAGGAGAATTTAAGAGAGATGCTGATACAGAAAAGACTGAATCTTTATATATAAAGTCAGCCACAAAGTCTTCAAACTGCTTCCAAAAGTTGCCCTTTGATGTGCAGCAAGGATTACCTCTCTGAGCCAGGAGGAACGGGCATGCTCATTATAGCTTTGGCATGTGCCATAAGTCTGGGGCATAGGAAGAAAAGTATACACTTTCCAAGGGCATAAGAAGGAAAACATGTATATGTTTGCCATTGGCAAATTGAAAACGCAGGAAGACTGAGGAAGGTGGTGACAGTCTCAACTTGCAGGTGCTTTGATCTAAGTGAGACCCGCACTGGTGAGGACCGGGGTGTTGGAAGGGGAACGCGGCAATACGAATGACCATACCGACCAGCGATTCTCCGCCAGGGCCCTGGGACACTGTGGGGTGCCTGGAGATCCTTACACAAGGAAGCCACGCAATACGAGCACCGTTAGGTGTGTAAACACGAGTCACAGGATCAACCTGGAGATTTCAAACAGGAATCGGGGGGGGGGTGTTACAAACATCCTTGCCTGCTGAAATCATGTCGCCGAGGTCTTTGCAACAGAGGAATTGCTCTAGTATTTTTCTGTAGTCAGAAAATGGAGTGAAAGGCTTGGCATTGTCGGAGGGATGCCTCGAGTCGAAAAAGGCTGAGGACCACTGTCATAGATCCACCTGGGCAAACCTTCATTGCAGAAAAGCGGCAGTGCACAAGATGAAATGGCCACTTTTTATTTTATATTTCTTTGTATTAGCGGGTACTGCAAGACCCATTAGATGCCATTGAAAACACCCCTCCTGTTTCATCAGCGGTGACTTTATGGCTCGGGATATTGATAATAAAACCTTTTACGCTTATAGGTCACCAGTTCAAATCTAGCTGTGCTCAGCAATGACCGATACCATCCGACGGGTGGGTAAGAATATGAGATTTGCTGACAGGTCTCAGTCCATTTATCGCCTGAAAAGTGTTTGCAGCAATGTAGCCCTGGGACTGGAAACCTCAACACAAAGGCAGCGATTGAATGGGCCCTGAAAGATGAACAAACCCTCGACCGACACTACAGCAGAGCCAGGTGAAAGTTGGGCTGCTGAGCAGAGATGTTATTGCTGTTGCCTGCGTGATGCTTCTTGATCTTTAGTCAAATCCAGCGCTAAATGCATTTAAAACCCCCCACTAATTTATACTAAAATATCCAAGCCCCAAATGGCAGCAGGCCCAGCAAACACCCTGGGTGTGAAAGAAACAGGCTCAAGCAGGCAGTCGGTGCCACCGTCGCCTCTCGTCGACGCAGTTTTCCAGCCTGAAAATGCTCCGTTCTCACCTCAGTTTCTGGTGGGTTATAAGCGAAGCACTGAAACTCAGCTGTGAGTGAAACCTGGGTAATTGAGTGGGAAACCCTCTCTTTTTATCTTCGAGACAAGCTGTGATCGACAGTAAAATAAGAACAGGGCCTATTCAAACCCACACAAGTAGCTGTCTCACCTAGAAGAGCATAAAATGTAATTAGTTGCATCTGGCAATCTCTGCTTAGCAGAGATTGAGGATGAAATTACAAGTGCGAATCCGGCTCGGCTTTCGTTGCGAGGGGCAGGGCGGTTCCAGCGGACCAGGGCTGCGCAAAGATGCGCGCGCGGGCTGATCTAGCGAACTCGCAGGAATCGAGTCGCCTGAAGTCAGCCAGCGCCGTGCCACTGATTTCCAGGTGGAGAATCAAAGCCACACGGGCCCACGGAAATTTAAAAAGAGGAGGCAAAAAACCAAAGAACTAGGGACACATCAGCGAGTTTGCATGGCCTCCTCTACGCACGCAAGCCTGCAGGGTGCCGTGCATTCGCGTCGCCCGCTGCTGAAGCAAGCCACGGAAGAAAAACTGCATTCCCTCCAAACTCCAAAAACATTGGAGAAAAACCCCCGCTCCAACCCGTGTAGAGACGATAATAAGCAAGGGAGCCCTCCAGTGGGATGAAGTGGTGAGAGCAAGCGTAAGCTGCACACGGATTTTTATTTTCTTTCATAGTTATTTATTTATTTTGTTCCCTTTGCTATTAACGGCGGGCCATGCGTTGCAAGGTACAGCTCGGCTTCACCTTAAGATTATACAGCCCTTTCCCTGCCAGGGGAACCTAGAAACGTGACTGCTTCTACTTGCAGTGCTAAGTGCTGAGCTTGGTACATAGTTTATCATGTGGCCTGAAGCGTGGCCAGGCGTGCACAACCTGTAGACAGACGTGCACAGCATCACACAGATCCGCCGCAGGATGCAAACACCACCCCATCCGCCATCTGCTTTTGGGGCGTAGGCAAAGGAACGGCACTCGGGGCTTGCACAGCACCTCATCTCCGGGCAACACGGCCTGAAGCATGAACCTGCCGAGCCGCTGACTCCCCGAGGTGAGCCGTGCCCGGCACAGGGTTCGGCTTTGCAAATCCCAGCTGAAGGATCGGGACCTGAACTTGTCCGCTCCTCTCTCTGCGTCGCCTCACGGAGCAGGGGGGTCGAGCAGCAGCTTTGATTGCCTGGTACCAGAGCGCCAACTTCCGAGCAGCACGTTAGCAAGAGAGGCAGTTGTTCTGACAAATGAAATTAAAACATCCCCAGCCTCCCAAAGCACTTTAGTCGTTTTCCAGAGATAGTGGGATGCTTTTGCCTGTCCTAGGTTTGGTTTAGGGACTGGTCACATGCTAAGAAAGCCCCGATTTTTGAGCCCAAGAAGCACAGAGGTAAAATACAACTGCAATTTGAAATGCAAACGTGTTGTCTGGATACCATCCAGAAGTTACCCAGAAGCATGATGCGCTTTGTTTGGAGGTTAAAGAAACGGGGGTGACATGGGGATAGGATGGAGGTTGCCAGCTACAGCCCTGGACCTGCAAAGTCCATACCTGGGCTTCATTTCAGGAAGCAGAATAGTCCCCTTCTGACTACCCGGTCTACGAAGTCGAACACGTGCACCAATTCTTAGGCTTCAACATGTGGGTTGGCCATGGGCTTTTTCTTGCCCTAAATGTTCCTGTGATAACTGCCTGATTTGTCAAGTTATTCATGTTTTGCACCTGGTTTACAAAAATGTCTTGGCAAGATTTGCAGGAGGTGATGCTGGGTTAATTATCCTGGAAAAAATGGAGCAGAGTCCAAGGGGCAAACAGGACCCTGCCGCTGTACAACACTGCTGGGGTGGTACGCACAGAGAAGGGTAACACCAATCCTAATATTTAGCCCCAGCTATTTTATGGGTTTCACAGAAATAAAACCCTCGCCCACATTTTTTGAGATC